AATCAAAGCATAGACATGGGGAAGTGAATAAGAAACCCAACCCTACCCTACGAACCTTGCAAAACCTCTGCATCCTGGGAGGGGGATAGACAGTCCCATTTAACAATGAGACTCTTGCTAGAGAAACCCACTCCAAAAAGCATATGGGGGCCCAATTTTAACTCTGTAGCATATATAAAATATCCAAATTTAAATTCTATAAATAAAAATATTAAGATGGAAAAATGGGTCTAAGCAAAATCCAGACATACATGGAATGGATAATTTTCTTTCCCTATGCCTTACTGGGGAGCTATTGCCAGATAGCTACTTTGGGAAGAAGAATGATTCTGTATTTACAATGTGGCCACTGTAGGTCTCCCATGCTCCAGTGGCTGGCCCCACACCTAAGCACATATGGGAAGAGTTAACTGGACTCAGTGGGTTATCAAAACAAAACAAAAAAACAAAAAGTAACATGTAGTTGGGGGAGGGACTCTTATAGAGGGTATGTAAAAGTATGAAGCATATACAAAATTCTCAGAAAGAAAAAAATGTTTTAATGTGGCAAAGTGCTGGGATCAATAGCTCCATGGTTAAGAATATTCTGTTTGAGCCCAGGGTAGTGGCGCAAGCCTTTAATCCCAGCACTTGGGAGGCAGAGGCAAGAGGATCTCTATGAGTTCCAGGCCAGCCTGGTCTCCATAGGGGATCCAGGCCAGCTGGGGCTACAGGGAGACCTTGTCTCAAAAAGACCAAAAAACAAACAAGAATATTCTGTTTGAGACTCTGAGTTTATTTTTCAGCACTACTATCCAGTGACTTACAATTGCCTGTAACTAAATCTAAATATATTACTATAAAGGGCTGGAGAGATGGTTCAGCATTTAGGAACACTCACTGCTCTTGCAAGGACCTGGGTTCAATTACCAGCACAAACATGGTGAATAGCAACCATCTGTAACTCCAGTTCCAGGGGATCAGACTCTTCCTCTGGTCTTCAAAGGAATTTCAGAACACTGTTGCACTTACATACATGCAGGCAAATCAGTATTAAACATAAAATAATACTAAGTAAAAATATCTATTAGTGTATTGTGCAGGTTTCAAAAGCCCTTAAATTAATATATGTCTAAATTTAAGGTGATATTTTTGCTAGGACTATGCATGCCCCATAATTAGAACATTATTTTTAGCTAAGGCAGGTTAGTGAGTTATCAATCACTTAACAGAGTAAGCAACTTTTTATTTGTTCAGGTAGAATATCTATTTACCCAAGAGCCTGTAAAACTACAAGGGACTCTTTTTTTTTCTGAAAATATATATCATTAACCAGACACCTGGACAAAGTTGACCTTAATCTTATAGACAACTTACACCACTCTCAGCAAAAGGGTCCAGCTTATAACTTTCTGTGTCACTAAAACATTGTGGGCTTGCCTCTTAATAGTTGTTTGATACTCTGGTTTCTCTTCAGATCATATAAATATTTTCCTTTTACTAATGTTTGAGTCCCTGAATTTTATTTCTTCCTAAGCACCACAGTCCCAGTGTTTCCCATTCCTTATAATCCTTATATGTTCCCAGTGAATGTGTGCATGTCACATAACATAGACCTTCCATTAGCCATTAAATAATGTTAAATCATAGGTAGGTACACACTCCTGGAGGAGAAATGAAAGGGTCTCTCAGGTGAAGGCTAACTTCTCTAGAGACACAGGAAAAACAGGTGTTTCAGAAAGTTTTTGCTAAATCCAAAACATTATTACTTTAACTAAATATTTTTCATATACAATTTTGAGGCAGATTTGGAGCCAAAGCATGTGTGGCTGAAATTCATATTCAGCTTCTCTTAAGCAACCATCGTCTTCCAAGAACTATCAAGCCAATCAGGCACATTCTAAGGACTTTGTGTGGGATGGATTTCTAGTTCCAGAAGAGCAGTTATTATCTATCTGTGACTTTCAGGCATGCCAAACCTTTTGACATTGGGAAACAGTGTTGTCATTGACAAATGTTATAATTGAGAACTGCATAATCAAATTACAAAAAGGTTAAAGGATCCCATTAAATTATATAGAAATTTACAATTTTGTTTGGGCTTAGATATGTATATGTCTGGGGTGGCAAGCACTCTGTGGGAAGCAGATTAGGCTGATTGGTGAGATGACACCATTTGATGAGCTCCACCCATCTTGTACTCAGCAGCACGTGTTCTCATAAAATTTGTCCCTATAGAATAGCTTTTATTAGTCGCGCCTGGAAAAGGAAATTACCTGGTAAACTACAGGAGCTTAGATTTCAGATTCGAGGACATCCATCCTAAAATGGTCTCTGGGATTGGGGATATGCATTTCCACTATAAGGTACAGTAACAAGCCCCATTCACAATGGTACACATGTTCTTCTCATTATGGATGGATCTATCTCTGTAGCTACCTAAAGTGAGGGGCAAAAAAAATGTGTGTAGTTTACCATGTACTACAATGCATTTGGCCTGTGTATCCACAATAGTCATCCTTTATTTTGAGAAGGTCAAATTACTATTTCTACAGGGCCTCACATTGAGGAGAACCTAAAGCTGCAGTGAGTGTGACTTCTCAGATATTCCTTGTAGAGGCAGTGCCAACAGCTTATGGGTAAAACTATTATACTGATTATCTGATTTAGGACTTCCTATACATTACAGTATATTAGGGTATTATGTCTATTGTCTATCTTCATACCTACATTCAACAGATCTCCCCACATTTGGCTCTTCATGATGTTTGTTCCTATTTATCTACTTTTCCCTTTTTCTTGGTGTACTTCTTTTTGTACTACATTATAACATAGTTTCAACTATCACAGTTTTCACTTGCTCTGTTTCTGCAAGTTCTAGGCCACATCATAGTCAGCACTATGCTAGACCCAGATGAAATCTGGAGACTGGGGCAAAAGTATTTAGTTTTTGTACAATGTAGAATGAAATTATCATTTTCAGACCTGAAGTGAGTTTTCAGATGTTCCCCTACACAGCGTACTCACAGGAAAAAAATTTAAAAGATTTTTAAACCCCTCTTCTCTGAGGCACAACTTCACAAGACAAACTGCCCTCTGATAGCCAGGCATCCCAACAGGACTATGACAATATTGCCTGTCAGAGAGTGGTTCTCCATAGTAGTATGGGAACCATGCAGGAAATGCAAAATGGAAAAGTTGTCATGACACTGATGATCTATTCTACTTCATCTCCATACAGAATTCACTGTCCCATAGTGTTATTAGACAAGAGACTGACAACTTGGATTATTCCTAAAGCTGCTAACCATATCAGTGAACTCCCTGAGACCATGTTCACACGTTTATTTGAATATAATGAGTTTTTACATGCCTGCTTGTTGGGTTTACTTTAGCGAAGGAGTAAGTCCTCAGACACTCCCCCTGGTCTTCAGTGAATCTATAAATCTGCCCCTTCTGTGGAGTCCTTAGACATTATTTTTCCAGTTCCAAGGACTATACCCAGTGTCTTGTGCATACATATTTGCCACTAATCTACACTACCAGCCTGCACAGCTATTTAACAGCATCTAAACCAGGGTATTGGGAAATGGCACAAACACAAACTTGAAGTATTTTCTTCCCATAAAAGTCAGCATAATGTCTGTAGCCATGTTTTCTCCCACTTTACCTTCCCTGTCAATAGCTTAGAATGTTAAGAGATCTCATGTCCAATTCCAGTTGCACTTACCCTCTCTCATGCATACTTTCCAATCCATTGCCACTTACTCTCTATTGGCAGGTGACCTGCTTACTATGGAGGTCCCCCTACCCTACTGTTTTGACAAACCCCATGTCTATCCCTGGATTAATTACTAGCCTTTTGCAATTTCAGATCATTCATAATGCTGGTTCAATGAACAGGTTTTAGAACATCATTCTCTTCCAGGGCAGACTTCAACCATCAAACAGACAGGAAACAGTACTCCAGATAAGCCCCTCACTCCCCTCTTTTGTCTAAAAAGCAGTGACACCAGAGTTACTGCCACACTAGTCCAAACCTAATTTGTATCCTTAATCCAATATTTCCCCAAGCCATGCCCAGGCAGTGGTAACCAGCAGACTATTCTTACTTTCATTGAATTCATAATTTTGGACTACCTGATACAAGTGAGATCACACAGTATTTATTCTTCTGTTTCTGGCATAGTTCAAGAGTCTTCCCACATATGGATTCCATATATTTAACCTTTAATTTGGTGGGAGATGTAGTTACCTCTAGGCACACTATTTTACCATAACTTCATTTATAGAAATGGTATCATCATGTTTTGTAATTAAATAGTTTCATTTCACACAGTTATGGGTATTAGTTATAGTCTGGATAGTGATGGTTGTTTGTCCTGTTAATCCTGTTTCCAGGCAAGTGCAGACACTGGAACTATATTGGCTATTTAACTTCTAATTATATCCCAGGATGCCCTTTGAACTGCCGTATGGTAGAAGATCCTCCTGCATCCAATATCTTGACTGCTGTAATTACAGTCACTACCATGCCTTATGCTAGGCAGCAAGCAGAGCATTTTGCCGATTAGGCAAAAACTCTACCACTTCATCCGCTATTTGTTTAATAATTTAGCACATCACTTCATGTGGTAAGGGTCGTTTGGTTTTTGTTTGTTTGTTTATTTGTTTTTGTTTTCATTACTGGCCATTAGAACTTGTTTTGAAAAGCATTGTAATGGCAGAAAATGTCCGCACCCTCGCATCTAGAGAAGTTCCGGGAAAAGTGAGGCTGCGCTGTGACGACCCAGAGTAAGGAATACGATTCCCTTGCGCTGGGAGTAAAAACCCAGTGAGACTCCACCACGCATGTGTGTCTGCCTCCTTTAAAAACCCGACGGGCTCCCTTCTGCAGAAAATATTTACTTTGCCAAACGGCGACTAGGAAGCACATAGCTCTCCTTTGCTGAGCCACAGGCGGAAATACATCATCATTCAGCGCAGCTCACTTCCGGATAGGCTCTAAAGGGAAAGTGACTTGCCGGCTTGGGAAACTGCTGCACTCAGAGGCCAAAGTTTTTGGGTGTCGCAGTGTTGTGCAAAGGCACACAGCAGCCACAGCTTTCCATTTCCTTCTTTCTCCGAGAGAGACATATTGGGATTTTTTTTTTTTTTTTTTTTTTTTTAGGCATTTGTAATTGCTTTCAGGATTTAGAATTATTTGTGTGGAGTTTTTGTTTTTGGAATCAGTACCGTTTTTGTAGCGCGGGCGGGTCCCTTGCAGCCACTTGTCATACAGATTAACGCTTCCTTTTTTGGTAAGAAACATATTGTATTTTTCGATATTTAATTTCAGAATTCTTTGGGGGGTGGGGGTGGGGTGGGGGAGGTTTGCTGTTGCTTTTGGAATCAGTACCATTTTTTTTGCCGGTTTTACTGGCATACACCGCCATGCCGGGCAGGATCAATATTTTAAAACATGAATTGAATCGTCCGCCTACATTAATGTAAGCGTTTGCGGTGCCAATTTAAAAATATCCCAAAGCGAGGATTGGTGGAGGCAATAGTTGGAGGTCAGAGCCAAACCCCACTATATAGCCAGCTACGTGAGAGTCACTCTTGAAAATATCGATGAAACACAACAAATAATAGAATAAATGATTCCTTCTTTAACCTTTTACTAGTTTCCTTTGGATCAGAATTAGAAATGTGTTAACAAATCTTTTGTTTAACAGAATAGAAGTAACTTTGCAGTTGTGCTATGATTACAGTTTTCTGTCAGCATAATTCTTACAAGCCGTCTTTTAGAAAGCATTTTTATGTATTGTAATACATTTAGAGATTCTTGAACTATTTACTAGTACTTATGATGGCAGAGTTTATTTACTATTTAAATGAGATTCATTTTAACAAAAATTTCCATTTAATTCTACTCATATTTTTTCTATCAAAATTCATGTATGACAGAGGCCAGAAAAAAAGGCTTTCAGGGCATATTTTATGTAATACCACACAACTTCCTCTTAAAGGATCATGTTGATTTTGTAACATCGGTATCCAGGCATGTGTTTTTACTTCTTTTGTATGTGTGTTCCTTACACTTTGTCAGTGAATGACGGAGGCTACAGGGAGACCCTGTTTCAAGAAAGAAAAAAGAAAGAAAAGAAACGGAGGGAGGGAGGAGAAGGAAGAAAAGAAAAGAGAAAAAAAAAAAAGAAATAGATGCTTGATGACTCTTAAGGTTCAGATAGCCCTGCCCCCTCACCAACAGGATCCCAAGGACTTCTCATGCTCCTGAGAAAAGGGAACCTAGCTGAGTAAGCACCTTGGTATTTGAAGTCAAGAGAAGCAGACTTTTCTCCACTGTTTGGCCAACACAGCAGGCTTCC